ACCTAACAGACAATGATTGTGATGCAACATTTTCTTGGCAACAGCAAATGCTGAAAACAGGCTTATCGCAGGATTGAAAAGGAATTGGAGGGATGAAAGCTGACTATTGCATCATTTTCTCTTTGCATAATACATATATGAAGTTTGCCTGTATAGCAACATTTTACATATGTATTGTTCAGCTGACACAAATACACACCCTGCATTTATATGATGCATCATCTGAAATTTCTCAATGATGGTATGCCATAACAGCTGGTTAGCAGTTCCAGCAGAATGGATGGCTTTCTCTCTAGTTATTTGTAACTTGGCAATTTCCTCCATGAGACACTGAGGTCAGAATTCCAGCTGGCAATACAGATGATCTGTGTTATCTACATGGATAAATAATTCAGAACTTGTTGAGTGCTGTTGGGAGTTTTGATTGCTAGAAACTGGAGAATGCATTCTGTCACTGTTCTGTAAAGTTGGGAAAATAATAATAAAACTTTATTTATATACCACTCCATCTCCCCAAGGGGACTCACAGCGGTTCCCAGGTAACATCACAAAACATACAAAGTAAAAGACAACATAACCATAAGATTAACGAAACAAAATATAAGCATAAAAATTGTCGCCATAACACACATATATTAAAAGTAATCCTGCCTGTCCAAGGCAATTTAAAAATTTAAAAGACCGAGCCAAGATTTGTGCAAGCCCAAAAATTCTAGGGGGCCCGGGAATTAAGCACAATGCTATGGCAGGCAACAATAATATTAGGTACGGGTCTGTGGTTGTTCATTCCGGGGCCGATTAGAGGAAAGAATCTGAGTAATTGGTAGGAAGAATAAGGCCATATTTGACAATGTGTAGGGCTGAGTTAGAACTGGTTATTTTCAAAGGCTTGTTGAAACCACCAGGTCTTCAAGCTCTTACTAAAGGAGGGGAGGGATGGGGCCTGTCTTATTTCCCTTGGAAGGGCATTCCAGAGGTGGGGTGCCACCACCGAGAAGGCCCTCTGTCTCGTCCCCACCAACCGTGCTTGAGACAGTAGTGGGGCTGAGAGGAGGGCCTCCTAAGAAGATCTTAGAGCTCGCGCTGGTTCATAGAAGGAGATGCGATCGCGGAGATAGGCAGGGCCCGAACCGTTTAGGGCTTTATAGGTCATGACCTGCACCTTGAATTTGGCTCGGCAACTTATCGGCAGCCAATGAAGCTGTTTTAATAGGGGTGTTGTATGCTCCCTATAGTTTCCTCCAGTAAGGAAAGCCTCAGAATTGAGAATTCTAACAGTGTATTCATTTGCAAGATAGTCAACAAATGACTGCCTGATTTTCCAATATCTGATTTTTTTTTTTATTTCATGAGGGCTAGATGCAACTTCACTATTAATCGATCTAAACATCTTTCCTTCTTATAATCTGTTCGGTATTTTTTTGTGTGTTTTTACTTCATTAGATTTGTTTAATTGGATAGTGTTGATTAGGCTTGGTTGATCAAAAAAATGGTTTAAAACTAGTTTCATATGAAGGAGGCACTGGTGGTTCAATTCTAAAGTCACTTGAAAAAAAGTCAAAACTTTCAGAAACTTTTAAAACTTCCGAATCACTTCATTAATGCCGGACGTGATTGCACAATATGTGGAAAACAGCACTGACATTGGAGAAACTCCAGGGCCTTCTCCCTCTCTCATTTTTACACCAATCTTGATGAAACTTGATATACTGTTACAACACATCCTCCTCTGTTAGCATACCAAATTTCAACACGTTCAGATGATCCACCAATTTTAAAGAATTTTTAGAAACATTTTAGAAGTAATTTATTAAAATTAAAATAAAAGAGCTACCTCCTTGAATTTTTAACTTAGAAATATAGCCTAATTAAAACTGTCAGTATTGCATTGCCCTCTTATAAATCTGTGATGTGGCCATATTTGGAAGCCTATGAATAGTTCTGGTCTCCACATTTGGAAAAAGCTATTGTTCAGCCTGATCAACAGATTCATAGTTAGATAGTATTCCTTGATTCAAAAAGTCACTAAAGGTCTCAGTGGTGAGGAATGCTCCAGTTAGGTCTGTTATCGGTTATGCCATTACTGGACTAGAATAATAGGATGGCAATCTATATTCTGATTAATTTATTCTTATTGGACTAGTGACATGCATTATACGGTTTCCCTTATAGATGTCTGAAGGCTGCAGATGGTACAGAAGACCATTGGTACAGAAGACCATTGGCATATGACACCTGATTTGACATGCCCACCAGGCAGCAAGGTCTATTGTTTTGAGGACTGAACTATTATCCTAGAGATCATGGTTCAGTTTCCCACTCAGCCATGCAAAGCAACATTACCCAGAGATATATGAGTGTTCTTTAAAATCTCTCTAGTGTCTGTCCTATCCTTTGGTGTCTAGTGTCTGTCCTATCCTTTTGGGGAAGTTATTTAACTTCCCCAAAACAACCAGAACTAGCTTGGTGCCTTCCTTCCCTAATCAGGAGATAAAACCAGGGCTCACATGGCAGAGGGAGAAGGTGGTGCTGGAAATATCAAACATGGTCTTTTGTTTTACTCTGAGTGACAACACTCGGCTGTGATGAGGAGGCATTACATTGAAAGCTGTATCATACATCATAACCTTGAAAGGGCATCCATGTGGAAAGGCTTGGTGATATGCAGATTTATTTAAACAAAAATATAATTGAAGGGTGTGATGTAATCCTGTTGACAGCTTCACTTCAGAGAAATGACCATAAATTCTTCCGTGAATGAAGTGCCAAACACTTGGCACTATTACATTTATTTCCAGTGCCAATGTATTCTGTAAGGAATTGCTGCTCACCTCCGTCTCCCCACAGTAATCCCTGTTGGATAAAGGCATTGAGTCTATTGCTGGAAACAGCACAGTCAAGGGGCTGCACATGCCAGATTCCTAAGCATGGTACCTTCTCCCCTTAAAAAGAAGTTGACTGTACAGTGTACAGTATTCCTCTGTTAGTGAAAATGTGATGTGATGCTTAGAGTATCAGAATATCAGATGAAGTTTTGGTAGGCTCAAGACTTTATTCTACTATGAAACCTTTGGGTGGTCTTTTGAAGGTGTGATGATAAAGGGGGCTGGAAGAGAATAATATATATTATCCTGAGGTGCTTTGAGGAAGATCAGAATAAAAATAGAGATGGGAAAAATAAATATCTGTTACAATGGAAAGCCAGTTCTTTGGATGTACCGTAACAGAGTAAAATAATAAATGGAATAATAACAAAAATAAATTGAGAAAAATAAGAAATGTGATAATGTTAATAAAGAGTAAAATAATAAATGGAATAAAAATAATAATAAGAGTAAAATAATGTAAATGTAACAATAATAATAACAATAGAGTAAAATAATAAATGTAATAAAATAATAATAGTAACAGTTTAACAAGTAAATTGACTCGTCCATTGTTTTAAATTGTTTTTAAATTGTGTTAGATTTTAGCCTGTTCTTGTAAGCCGCTCCGAGCCCCAGGGGAGTGGCGGCATATAAGTTTGAATAATAAATAAATTTTAAAAAGCCGAGGGGGGCTTTTTCAGACTAAAAAACAGCTGAAAAACTCGGCTTATACTCGAGTATATACAGTATTTGTTTGCATTAATTTAAATCATATAGAACCTTAAAAGAAGTATCATTTCTCCATTTTGGATAGCGTTTAATTTCAGCATTCCTGCCACTGACTAGCTCATCTGTACATTGTATTTATTTTATCTCCTTATCTCTTTTTTACCTTTCCCATGTTTCTGTTTCCTCCACCCTTTTTGGAAAAATAATTACAAGAGGGCAGAAGAGCATGAGGCCTTCTAGATGTTAATTTTGCAATGCCCATAACTGCTCATACTTGGTCATGCTAGCTGGGGTTGGTGGGAGTACATTGCACAACATCTGGAATATCCACCTATGTTTTACAGAGTGTTTGCATAACACAGTGGTTCTCAACCTTTGGGTCCCCAGATGTTTTGGCCTTCAACTCCCAGAAATCCTAACAGCTGGTAAACGATAGGTCAAAACATCTGGGGACCCACAGGTTGAGAGCCACTGACATAAGTCATGAAATTTGTTTTTCTTGGTGGTTGGCATGTAAGTGCTGAAAATGTTATGTGACTCTTGCAAGTGTTTTCAAACACTTGAGTTGGGTTATTCATGCCATAAGTAAGACCATAAGGAGATATTAGTAAGGCTCCTTCTTTCCTGCCTTTCCTGTCTATTAGTTACCGAGACCTATGGGGCAGCTTACTTCTTGGGAGGAGAGCAATGACCAATCTCGATAAAACAGTGAAGAGTAGAGACATCACACTGGCAATGAAGATCCGCATAATTAAAGCAATGGTATTCCCCGTAGTCACCTAGGGATGTGAGAGCTGGACCCTAGGGAAGGCTGAGCGAAGGAAGATAGATGCTTTTGAATTGTTGTGTTGGAGAAAAGTCCTGAAAGTGCCTTGGACCACGAGAAGATCCAACCACTCCATACTTCAGGAAATAAAGCCCAACTGCTCATTGGAGGGAAGGATAGTAGAGGCAAAGATGAAGTATTTTGGCCACATAATGAGAAGACAGGAAAGCTTAGAGAAGACAATGATGCTGGGGAAAATGAAAGGAAAAAAGGAAAAGGGCCGACCAAGGGCAAGATGGATGGATGGTATCCTTGAAGCGACTGGCGTGACCTTGAAGGAGCTGGGGGTGGCCACGAGAGGAAGCTCTGGCGTGGGCTGGTTCATGAGGTCACGAAGAGTCGGAAGCGACTGAACAAATGAACAACAACAAATGCTTAAAAGCTTAAAGCAATGTTTATTGATTGATAAAGCTCCTGTAATGTTTCTCCACTGCAACATTGATAATCTCATAAGAATAACCTTTAAATTTTGTTGGTGCTCAGTCTTTATTGCAAAGAAATCTAAGTTTTGAACAATATGTAATAAATTCAGATAACATATGTCTTTTAAGAAGTAATATGGTATCATTTTATTTCAGGTCATGTGTGTGCATTGAGAGAAACGCTATCAACACACTTGCATATCTCTGTGACGGTGATGCAAGAACTGGATTAAATGGACTCCAGATGGCTGTTCAAGCCAGATTAACTAAACTCACCCATCAGAACACTCTTGGTGACTCTTCCATTCAAGGCTTGGTCATCACAGAAGATCATGTGAAAGAAGGTCTCCAGCGGTCCCATATTCTCTATGATCGAGCCGGTGAGTATCTAATAATTCACTGAATTCTGATACTTAGTTCAACTGTGAAGTTTTGCATGATGGATTTAGTTTATTTTCTTTGTACTGGGAAACCACAAAGAGATAGCCATGCCCATTGCAACCAAAACAAAATATCTTCTTTAAGATGATGTCAGAATATCATTTAAAATAGGGTTTGTTTGTTGTTTTTCAAACATTTTTCTCTTTGAAAGAAAGAAATGCTTTGGACATAATGGTTTAGACTCAGTTTCGAGAAAATGCTAAACCATAATTCAGTGCAGTGTGAGTGAAGACATAAATCCTTGGCCTCACCCTCTCATCTCCCTTCTTTTAGTCTAGCACAACCATCGTTAAAAGATCAGAAATGTCTGCTTCTTGCTTTAAACTAATTAGAATATATGGCTTCTTCTGAACTGGAAGCATTTCTTACTTCAAAAGTATGTTTGAAGCAAGTAACAATCTTAAATGTATTCTTGACACGTGTCAATTTGATCTTGGCTTGTTTTAGACACAGCTTAATAAAGATTAGGAGCCTATCATAATCAGACTCTTGTTTTATTAGGAAAACTAGCTTGGGTACCCGGCATTGTCAGGGTTATTTGTATAAAATGTATAAGGTTGTGTGTGAACTACAACTCATATCATGCCAGGTTAACCTCGAGAAACTTCATCAGTACTTAAAGTTTGTTACGTTGAGCAAGTTTGCTCTAGTTGCATCATCGGTGGTGTTCAATGTTCTCTCTGGCTGTAGGGTAAACTACAACTCCCACTATGGTGAGTCAGTCCCTTCAAACCCCTCCAATAGGTTGAGTTAGTCATGAGGGTTCTGTGTGCCAAGTTTAGTCCAGGTCCATCATCAGTCGAGGTTACAGTTTCTCTGGTGGTGGATGAACTACAATTCCCAGAAACAAAGGTAGGTTTCCCCCAAAGCCCTCCAGTAATCAAATTTCAGCATATCAGGTATGTGTGACAAGTTTGGTCTAGATCCATCGGTGTTTGGGTTTGCAGTGCTCTCTGGCTGTAGGTGAACTACAGCTCCCCCAAATCAAAGTGAATTCCCCCCCCCCAAAGACCTCCAGTATTTTTTGCTGGTCATGGGGGTTCTGTGTGCGAAGTTTGGTCCAATTCCATCTTTGGTGGATTTCAGAGTGCTCATATAAATCCCAGTACCTACAACTCCAAAATGTGCAGGCCAATTCTCCTCAAAATCCACCAGTATTCAAATTTGGGCATATCGGGTATACATGCCAAGTTTGGTCCAGATCCATCATTGTTTGGGTTCATAGTGCACTCTGGATGTAGGTGACTACAACTCCTATAAATCACTTCAAATACCTCCAGTATGTTTTGTTGGTCATGGGGGTTCTGTGTGCCAAGTTAGTTTCAGGTCCATCGTTGGTGGAGTTCAGCATGCTCTTAGATTGCAGGTGAACTATACATTCCCAGTACTTACAACTCCTAGAAGTCTCAAACATCTCTAGTATGTTCAGTTGCTGATCAATTCCCCTGTTTAGTGTGTGCCATTGAAAATAATAGGAAAGGGTTTTGGGAGAGGCAGTGGGTGGGGTCATGCAAATTCCACACCAATGGAGAGAGTCAGAAACATTGGGATGCCTGTGGTGGAGGAAACACATAAAATCTGGGATAAAATGGTTCCCATATGAAAACCTTCACTTGGATGGTGGGCAGTATGGCGTTTGTGGAGGACATTGGCAGGACTCTTATACATGTTCATAGCGCTCACTATAACCTGCAGTGTCATTGGAGAGAGGGTCATTGGTGTCTCCTGAGTAGTGGGATCTATAGCTGTTTGTGGAAGCAGGAGCTTTTATGTGTAAGTAGACACTCCAGCCACACACATACATTTTAACTTTTATTATGTGTGTAGATATGCTGAATTCTGGTTCATTGCAATTGAAATGAGGTTTTACTTGGAGAATATCCTGAATTGTATTTTAGTGTAATGGAAATAAGGCTAGTGTTCCACCAAAATCGTTTTATTTTAATATTTATTCTAGAATGTATGCCCGGCATTTCTACCAAATGAAATTGTGCTACATAATGACAATACCAAAATAAAACACACATTGATTAAAATACAAAAAGAGAAAGCCAACCATAAAAAATTTAGTATTTTTCTTCATCCTGTCATAAGAGAGAAAATAGCTGTTGTTCTCAGGAGATCATATCTATCTTCTTCCTGAACTTAACCAGGCCAAATTCTTCATTGCGTCTGCACCTGTTCCAACAATAGGTGTGAAAAATGTGAAGAAGCTGTGCAGGAAGATGAAACTAACAAGAAGCAATTGGCAGTGAACATGCTGTGAACTCACAAAGGGAACAACTTTTAAAGATATAGGATAACACATACCAGGTCTCCGCGGGGACAGTGTGGCACTTGAAGAAAATGTCTTTGTGCGTGACTAAGAATAGCTGGTGGTTTTTTCCCTGTATTATTCTAAAAGCACTTGAAAGAATACATTATGATGGCAAAAACAGTCATTTCAAAATATATACATTAATGTAAAGAGAGTGGTTGTGCTTTTTATATACAAGTCCTTTTGGTGTTATGATTTTGTAACATTTCCTTCCAAGCAAAAATATTTTCTCTTTACTTTACTGGTAAGGATAAGTTTCCATAATCACAAAGATCAAATGATGAAGCTTTTCCTGATCTGGACCACCACACGCTACACCTGGGGGCAATGTGAGGGGTGTGTATGTCTGCATCAATGCCTCTCCTCAAGGCAATATGTTACAGTAAGTCGTAGCAGAATCAAGTGTGTGTTAAAGAAAAACCTTATGATGCTAATTATTATGTGCAGCTGGTAATGTAGGTGCAGCTGGTAATGTAGGTCAGCATAGCTGCCTTAATACCACCCTGCTTTTAAGCAGTCCCTATTTATCTATTCACATTTTGCTTTTGAACCACTAGGTAGGCAGAAGCTGGGCTAAAGGTCCACACCCGGTGGGGTGTAACTGTATGGATTTTAGAATACAGTTTGGAGAAGCAATGCACTACTCTGAGGAAGAGAAGTAATATGCTGTAATGATGCTATGCTCTAACAGCGATGCTCTTTGCTATGGTAGAATAGCTATTTATTCAAGGTTTATGTTTTGCTCTCTCATTTGAATGAAGATGAAGAAGCCTTATTCTGTGTTACTTACAAGGACTATGTATGTTTATTACACTGTTTGATTTTGTATGCAACACTGCAAGTTTATGCCTCTCCTGATAAGAGTAAAAATTCTATGTTCCTTTTTTTCCTCTTGCCTGTGTGTCTTTTGCATGGGACTTGGCTAAAACATGCTCTGCGCAACACAGTATTCCTCCAGCAGCCACACGTACACATGCATCTAAAGAATTGGGACATGTGTACATGAATGCTGAAGGGGCACCAATTTAGGGGCATGGACTCACCAGCACTTTAAATGCACAAACTTAGGGGTCCCCTCAACGGGCCAAGTAGCTGTGCAAGGAGGAGGCCATAAGTTGGATTTTTACTACAGAGGCTTTATTGTGGGCCTAGCAATAACAACAAACATGCATACAGGAATGCAATCAAAGGGTTTGTCACACACCCCAATGGGGCTGCAAATCTTTTCTCACTTTGGCAGTAAATTGAATACACGTTCTCATTGGTGTTCAAAGATCAATCATTTCATTGGTCTAAGCGGGCTATACAAATGCTTATTGGCTCTTTACAATTTTGACTGGCATGTAAGCACACGTGGGACCCTGACAATGGCACAACTATAGTCTATTGTTCTCTGACCATAATTGTCTTAATGAATCAGTCTTATCCGTTCTTCTGTTGCAAGCATAACTCCAAAAGGGCTGGGAAACTTGGGGAATACTAACTAGCCACTAGCTCGCCAGTTTTGTCCTGGTGAAGAGGAAGAGGAACTTACTGAAGAGGAAGTTACGTTTATCCTTAAAAAGTAACTTCTTCTTCAGTAACATTTTCACAAACGATTAGTGTTTTTTTTTGTTTGTTTTTTGCAAACAAAGGCCCTCTGCAGAAGCAGGCCAATAAGTCAGTAAATCAGGATATATGGGCATTGGGAACATCTCTGAAAATTCCCTTTTAAAACTATATCTCCCTCAATGCTATAGCAAATCTGTTCATCCTAAAAGCACCATATGACTAGTTATTTAACTAGGTAAGGGGACATAGGCTGGATACACTGCATGTAAAAAAAATTAGAATATTAGGCAAGTGGCATTGTCTTGACTTTTCCCTTGGTCCCCCCCCCCCCCATAATTCGGAAAATGTTTGACATCAGGGTATTTTGAGAAATTTACACAGAGAGAGAGAGAGAGAGTAATAATAATAATATTAATAATAATAGTAATAGTAAACTTTATTTATACCCCAATGGGGACTCAGAGCGTCTTACATGAGGGCAAGCCCAAACAACAAATTACAACAGAGTAAAACAGAAAACACAAATCGAAAACGTGAAACAATTAAACAACAACATCATAATTACATAAAATATGTGAATACATAACAATATAAAATTACAATAAGGACAAACACAATGACAATGGGCAGGCTACATGTAATGATTAAAAGAAAAACTAATTAAAAACTAATTAAAAACTCGGGCGAGATAAAAGAGAAGCAGGTTATTTGCAGAGGAGGGCTCATTATAGCGGGGGTTGTGGAATCAAGCTTTCCCACAAAGCGGGCGGGGGGGGGGTATACTCCAATGACAAAACGTTGAGGCTAAGCAATAATGTGAGATTGTGTACCTACTCACCAAAGACACAGCGGAAGAGCCAGGTTTTAAGGTTCTTTTTAAAGAGTATTCTTGCCACCTGCCTTGCCTGTATTGGTATAGATGTGAACATTTTGAGATCAACAACACAGTTTGCCTTCCTCCCAGTTGCAGTTCCTCAAATCCAGGCAGACCCCATTACAAACATCCAAGTTAACTGTAGTTACAAATGGGGGCGAGACAATGGGAAGTGAAAGGAATTCTACCCCGAAGAA